CTTACCCACTGTGTTAAGGCTGGTCCTACCTCTGCACATTAAGAGAACATTTAGGGCCAACTAGGAGACTTGGTGATTAAGGTACTGGACTCCCACATAAGTGACAGTGGTTCTAGCCCTGGACCTGGTGGCTTGAAAATCACGCTGGGCCCATGTGCACGTGTGCGCAAATCCCAGGAGAAGAAAGTCCCAGAAGAAGAAGGGATTATGGTGTGGCCATCTCCACCCGAAGGGGTGATTTCTCACTTTTTCTCTCTCTTTCTCTCTCTCTCTCCGGTTAGTGTGCATGTCCGATAGCAAATTTAAAAATATTAAAAATAATAATAAATAAAACTTTTTAAAAATACAATTTTAAGTACCAGTAGATGGTGTGGTGATTAAAGCACTGGATTCCCATATGACTGACCGTGGTTTGAGTTCCAGACCCAGTGGCTTGAAAATCACAAATAAGGGACCAGCAATTAGTGTAATGGCTATGTCTCTGGACTCATGTAGTCTATTGTGGTTCGCGTCCTGGACCCGGCGGCTTAAATTTACGCCGGGCGCATGTGTACGCGTGCCCAAGATCCCCAGAGAAGAATGGAGGAGAAAGGATTGCAGTGTGGCCATTCCCCCAGGGGGGTGATTTCTCGCTTTCTGTCTCTCTGTCTCTCTCTGTCTTTCTGGCGAGTGCACGTGCCCTATAGCAAAAACCTCTCCAAAAAAAGAGAAAAGAAAAAGAAAATCACAAATAAATAGTTACATAAATTTTAAAAATTTGGTTGTCAGGAAAGTTATGATGCATTTTTGCATAGAAAAACATTGAAACTATGTCATGTCTTTCTTGGCAACCTAATACATTTTAAAAAGTACTTTAAAAAGTACATATATATATATATATATATATATATAATATTTAAATGGAGGCTGGACATGGTGCAACAGTAAAATGGAACCATCTGTGAGGCCGACTCACATGCAAGGTTACAGGTTTGTGTCTTGGGATCTCCCTGAGGGGGAGG